ATATGTTAAAAAAAAATTATAATAATTCAAAAATCTATCTAGCAAAGTAAAACTATAAAATTAATAAAGCGAGAAATGATTGAAATAAAAATCTTCGGATATGTGTATACATATAATTTCTAGATAATCTCTCATATACAGGTATATATATTATATTCGCGGTTCTTTTTCTAAATGTAGAAGCGAAGATGTTGGTGGGCATATCGGAACATCGGAACATTTAGATTATAGACCTAAGTGGTTATAATAGCTGTCGTCGAGAGGCAAGAAAAAGAAATGAATATTCATGTCGCGTCGCTGCGCGTCAATTCGTTCGGGTCCGAAAATTAGTAAACGACACGCTCCGATCTCAGCTCTCAACCGACATCAAATCCGATGCTCCGCTGTCAGCCTTCCTCAAAAGTCCTGTTTTGTATTTATACCCGAAACGAAACTTTCGATAATTTCTCCGAAGAGATTTGTCGGGCATCACGAGCGTTTTTGTTACGATCCGGCACACACCTACGTTACCACGTTGGCAACCCTTTTAAAACGACCTCGCTCTCCTCCGGCCCCGAGGAACTTGTTTTGCTCATCTCAAGACATCCTCGAGACACAAATCATGCTCGAACGGATCCCTTCTGCTCTCAAGAACGACGAATTCGACCGACCTCTTTCACAAGGTTTCAACGGCCACGCTTATATGCCGTCATTGAGGGCGTAGAATTAGCGTTTTCATTCAAACAAGCATATCGCGTTTCTTCATTATCGCAAATTAAATTACGTTGCTTCATTAAAAATTATTTACTGTGATAGATTATACGAATTATTTAATAGTTTTGGTTATATAAACAAAAAATAAGATACTATACATATGATAAAAACTCTGATAAAAATGTGATACAAATTTCAAGTATAAAAATAAATTCAATCTATGCTGTGAAAAATGTATATATATGTATATATATATTTGACGTTTTCTACTATAAAATAAAAGTTGTCACTCACCAATCGATGTATAATAGCGGAGTTGATTACGTATAGACTAGGTTGATCTGTAATATATAAATATAAGATCTAAATTATAATAAAATTCAAAATAATTAATATCGCAAACAATTATTATTGTACGAAAAGGATTTCATATTCAATGCATATAATAATAAACAAGTATTTAATGGAATTTCTCTACATCTCTTGTTTAAATTATTCAAATAAACGAATCAAGTAAACAGGAATAGATACGCGTATATGATTAAGAGAAAATGTATACAAATAATAAATTACCGTAAGGTTGCTCCGCTGTCGTCCGATGCCTCCTAGACCTCCTCCTCCTCTCAGACTATCAGATTATCCTCCTTCCCTAGGATTTCTTGTACTCGTGCACTGCATCTTCTCACGAAAAAAACAGTTAATGACGATCACGCGCGAATCGTCCTCGGTATGCTAAAAACGGACGCGCGACACTTTGCACGGCAAACTCCCGATTTTAAGACGCGACGAACCATTCGCGGAATGATGAAAATAAATGCGCGACACTTTTCAGGGCATTCCCGAATTCTGCCATCATGAACCAATATCCGACAATCAATAAAAAAACGAAAGAGAATATCGACGAAACGAGCCTTAGAAGTCGTAAGAAACCGTTGCAAACAGCTTGGGTACTTAGCTTCCAATAATATTATACATTAGTATTATATTATAATATTGACAATAATATTAATTTAATTAAATTAAAATAATATTTTTTATGGAAAATATAGTATTAACTAATTAATTTTTTATTTTATGCGTTAGTTACTCATTATAAAATGATTTCTACGCATCTCTTTTATATGACTGTATATCTTAAAAAATATATTTTAGAGCTTTTTGTTGTGCAATAATTCAATTTTCTTTTTAAAATTGAGTGCGTTTCAATGCTGACTCAAAATACAGTGATTCCACGTCGACAAACTTTGCGTTTGATCGGACATTAAAATAAATTTATAGTCTACGAGAGAAGAGTCGTTTGGATACCGTTAATGTCATTAAAACCGTCTCGTTGAGTAATTTAACTGTCTCGTTAACATAAATTAAAGCCGCATTGCATATATCATTATAAAGTAACCGAAGCTTACCGTACATGTTGCCATTTAATGTCATCGTATTTGTTCATTTGTCATTCTAGTCAATGTCACTACAGCCTCGCGTCGATCATAGCATACGCTTTTTACAAATATGTAAACTTATAATTTGCTTTATAAAAATGCAAAAAATATATTAATGCAGCATATCTATAAATACTATATAGTTTTAATTTATCTATATAGTTTTAGTTTTTTATACGAATCGTACAAGCCACATACAGATCGTTCATGTATGTTACACATTACGAAATTAGAAGGATCTCTTTTTTCGATCGGATAAACGTTTAGAAACAGATGTCTAAAGATAACTGAGGCAGTTATTATATATTCTCTATACACGCATAGAGAAAACAGACAGTAGCGAACTTTAATCGACCGAAAAGCTAGAAATTACTAAGAGATATTCATCGAGCCAATTAATATCATTAGCTAATCGATCTCCATTCCGAGAGATTTATCGGGACTTGAGCGGCCGCCCCGTCTTGACTTATTAAGTCCATCTGACCCCGCGTATGCGCGCTCGATCGATCGATCAATCGATCGTTCGTTCCGCAGGCCGATCAGCGAGCCGTGAAACGATGACGATAATACAAATAGCTGGTGGTAAGAATCGTCGGCGGGGGCGGTAGATAACGAGGATGATGACAGCAACGATGATTTAGTGCCGCGCGCAAGTTAATAGCCCAAGAGGCCCGAGGGGCCCAGGACGTTATTCTTCGGGGCCATTCACAACACTCGCCGGGGCCCTACGCTCATCATGCAGGCCCCCCGCGGATTCCGCACGAAGCTTAACCCCAACGTGCCAATTCATTTCACCTCGTGCCGGCGTTAGGCCTGGTTTATGGTAGCATTTACAATTATAATCGGCCCGTTCGGTCACACTGAATGAGAAATAAAAGACTGGATGGGGAAAGAGAGACGCACAAAATATGAAAACGGAGGTGGACGAGGCAGAGGAGTTCTCTGGCGAGACTTTTTTCGGGCCCCATGGCACCTTCGTTTCATCGCGAACGCTGAAAATGAACGTTTTCGTTGCGGCAATAACTATTACTTATTCCGCGCGAAGAGAACCGATAGCGCGGTCGCGCTTAAGTATCAACAATTTCGGGGAAATAAATAATGCGATATCCCCTTCAGGATAAACCTTCCGGGTACTGAGCCCTCCCACCAACGTCAAGGTGTACCCAATGGGAGGGTTTCATCGTCGAAAAAAATGCTCCAAAAAACAAATGTCAAGCGCCAATCTTCGCCATGAAATATTTATTAAAATTTATTAATATTTATTTCTTTCTTTAAAAAAAATATCAAATATTTTATTATTTATACACAATTAATCGTCTTCGAAATAATTTATATAAAAAATCAGTTCCGCGATAAAATATTTATGGATTAATCTCATGTCATTTTATTCTTTATTTCAAGTAAAATAAAGTTAAATTATTGATAAATACGCGGATGGATAGACTAAAATAAATTGGACTAAAAAATTGATGCTTTAAGAAATATAATAGATACGATTAATAATTATTATACACGATAATATATTGTGAATGTGATTGCACGGTTAGTACGCTTTTCATGAACTTGGCATCACGATGCGCATCGCTCAAATGAATATTTATATTATTTTTATAATTCCCTCCACGCGCGATGTATACTCACCGCTTTCCGAATCTTTGTTCATCTACCCCATCGAGATGCTACAAAAGAGATGATACATAAATACACGTCATGTTGAATGCATCAAGCGAGCTTTTCCGGAACAGCTCGTATCATTTTTCGTGCGGTGGATTAACTTCTCCATTGCCTACCGCTTACGACGAGACTCGTGTGGAGAGCCGGATCGCCTAATCTTATTCAGAAAGATTCTAAGGAGGTCGTCGTGCGGACAAAATTAGTGTTTTCATTGCGGCAGCCACTCGAGAAGCCGCTCTCGCTCTCGTGGTTCTACATAGCAAACGCGAGTGTTTCGAATCCACTCGACTTACCGACGGCCGCCACCTCCTCTTCAAATATCGAGAACACCCTCCTCGATCCTCGAGCCGGCCGGGCCCCGGAAAACACATTTTGTGAACACGACAATAGCCGGCGACGATTATACAGTAGCGCCGAAAACAACATTAGCATCCGCGACCACTCAAGGAGAGGAGAACGGTTGCTTCCTCGCAAGATCGCTGACAAACGATGACGCGACGCATCCTCCTCATCCGGTTCAAAAAAGAGGCAGGCACCTCTCTCCTTGAAAGGATGTAATTTTTTCTCAAGCGTCTCGGGAAGACCATACAATAGGATCCAAACGATCGGGCAACTCGTCAGCGTCTATTAACGAGCGATTGCGAATGATTGGCAGCGCGTGCCTTCGAAAGCTTATATTTTATATTATTCCTCTCTATCTTTTATACATAAAAATAGAAATTCTTATTATAATATTATTATATAGTCTCTATACCGAGTCCAGAAATTAAAATAAAAAATATAATTTTTGCACAAAATAAATCTCTAATCAATTTCTTGATCCACATCTTAATAAAAAAAAAATAAAAAGTATCAATATTTTTTATATATATTTATAGATACTCAAAAAAGTATCCTTAATATTTTAATAACCGGGTTAAAGAAATCATTACTTTTAATCTTCCCAACTGAATACTGACATAGCAATTCTGCAACGAAGCGAAACGTTAAGAACAGGAACGCGACTTTTCCATGATTACTGCTGCGCGGCTTGGAGAGAACGTCAAAATGTTGCATTTAATGTATGCGGAGTTCCAGTCCGCGTCTCGCTCGTCAGCGTCCGGCGAGTTGAAATCCGGCCGGGAGACCTCCAAAGCGTATCCGATCCCTCGGCACTATGGTGATCCGTGAAACATCTTGTTAGCTCTGTATAAACGGATGAATGGCGCATACAGGCCTCATATAGGGTAAATCACAAATAACTGCCCGCTATCTGTTTTATTGTCACGGGATCCGTAACGCAGTCAATGATTTCGGTGCGACTCTGTCGCTGCTGGTTCACTCCCTCTTTCTTTCTCTCTCTCTCTCTGTCTCTTTGACCGGGAAAAAAATCGCCTCACCTCGCAACATATTTTAAGCACGCTGCCAAGATTTATGTCCCCGATCTCTCCGAGGATGAGAGACAGCGAGTCGGAGAGTTCGCTACTGTGCGACTGCGGTGCTCATCTTTTGAATAGAGGATAATACTAACGCGCCGGCCGTTATCTGTCCCGCCGCGCCCCGTATCCGACACACCATATATTTAAAATTTAAATCCTCGTATGTAACTCTTTAATTTCTCTCTTTCTCTCTCTCTCTTTCTTTGTCTTGTGATTTAGAAATTTATGGAATCTAAATAAACAATAGTTTACAGCGATAATATGGTGATAATAGTATGATTAGGATGCAAGATCGCTCCAATAGAGATAATTTTTTTCGCACACTAGTATACATAGAGATTTTAATATTTACTATTCAAATCATTTTTAAAATAGCTTTATATAATTTACAATAATACAGCGTAGTATAACGTTATCATATTATATTATATATAATATAATACTTACTACTATTTTAAAATATAACCCATGAGAGAGAGAAAGAGAAATATTTTTATAATACAAAAGGATTTTTTGATACTATATGCGAAAACTAAAAAAGTACGTTTGAATTCGGGACGTCCATCATAAGCATCGATCGGTATTTCGTCAACGCTTCGGAAGTCGCTATCCTGAGTTGCATGAACGGACCCATCTCGTTTCTGCATACAGCTGAGAGGAAGGAACGTCCTCTCCAAGGAACGCTGGCCGTCCTATCTCATTAGCGATCGCATGTTCGTTCCCATGATCGCTGCTGACGCCGAGACATGGCATCTTCGTGCCATTAGATAGAAAATTCCACGTACCTAAGGATCATCAACATCATTATCAGCGTAGTCATCGCCGTGTGGCGCTAGCGTCTATAATCTCGGTACGTCGGCTTATCAGAGCGCGTCCAGTGACTTCTCTGAAAGGTGGGCCTTTTTCTGGCGCGCTATCTGCGCGCCGTATCGCGCGCACCGCTTCTCGCCATTGCGGCACAGAGAGGCAATCTGGCTGGTTCATTGTTCGACTCGGAAACTCGCCGATACACAAGTCGAACGTGTTATTAACAAGAACTACGCAAATACGTCGTCGCCGGAATAATTAACCGCGAGAAATCGCGCGAAATCCGGTGCAATTGCATCGATCGCGATCTATCGAATTTATTGACATAAGGCAAGATATATATTGTATTTTTCAATTAAATATTGGTCGACAACTGCGATGTAATATACTTTATAGTCCAAGATTAGAATGATACAAATATGAGTACTTGAAGAAAGATATATCTCGTCTACCCGGTTTCACGCGATCGCAAGAGAGACGCCGAGATACTCGGCATTGTAACGGATACCGAGGTCCTCGATGAAAAGCAGTCTCCTTCCTCGCCTCTCCACGTATCAAGGAGGAAAAAAAGAAAGAGACGAAGAAATCGGTGATACCGACTC